GGTTCGCGAATTATGTAACGTGCAACATTGACGATCGTGAAATTTCATTTGCTTGGAGAGAGAAGCGGAAAAAGACACTTTGGCACGAGAATCTATTCGATCGTTAATAAAAAAATACAAGATATATTAACAAAATAGCGCACTAAATTATTAAATGGATTTTCACTTTCTTTTTATCATTTTGATATTATAAATCATACGTAAAAATTGTAAGTAATTCGCAGTTATTATATAATATCGATACTTAGATAAATGATTATTTTAACATATGTTATATAAAATATTCGATTTTTTCCTTAATAAAATTGTAAAAAACTAGGCACAGCTGGAATAGCAAAAGTTTTTAAGCTTTTTCTAATTTTAGAAGCACACACGAATTTGCTATTTATGCACGATTTGTTTTTTTTTCTTTCTTACATTTGCGATAACAGGTATGCGTTTGTGAACAAAGGGATATGTTTCTCTCAGAGCGATAACAAAGAAGTTCTATTCTCGCAGATTTAAGCGAGAACACGAGCAGCAAGTGGGAAGTTGTTGTATCAGTACGTGCCGTCGCGTGTCCTAAATACATTCGTTTTACTGCAACTACGATAAAATGTATATCTACACAGTGTCTTTCTCTTTCACTGCGATATTTTCCTTTCGACTATAAATATATATAAAATTTCAAATTATTAATTATATCTTTAATAACTTACTAATATTGTAGACAATTTAAAATAAAAAACATTTTTTTTAGCGAGTCGAATTTTAATCCAACAAACAATAAATAAATAATTATAAATGTAACTTTGTTCTTTAATATCTTTAATAATTTTTTTTTTTAATTTGATTAATGTTTATTCAATTAAATTTGTATTTATGCTGCCAATTAGAAAATTGTGATAAATAATGATTTCGCAAATCTGTCAAGGATATCACAAAACACACTTCTGAAACACCCTATGCTTGGTGCAACTGCAAGTGTTGTTTTATCATCGTTTTCTTTTCGTCAGACTAGCACTATGAATTTTTCGTTATCAAAACTCGCGTTAAAACACACGTAAATCAGAAGAGGCGTGGCCTTGCGAAAAAACAATTCTGCAGTTCTGCGACCATCGTAAATTTTCCCAGCAATTAAATACGTCTAAGTATATAGTTACAGAGTTCCGGATAAATTCATCATTAGAACGAAGAACAAACAAGCAAAATAAGAAATGTCTAAATTCAGCAGGATATAATAATATTGTTCAAAAAAATCTAAAAGAATATTTTCTCTCGTTACGGAAAAAAGAATTAAAACAAATATATTAAAAGATGAATAGAATTTTAATGAATTGACATTTACTCTTGATATGAGAAATTTGGTGTAGATATCATCATGTAAGTATAAAGAGATATAGCTGCGTATATTTTTGTACATTTTTGTATATATAATTAGAAAAATTTTTGATAGAATATAAAAGATATAAATTTAAATTTTAATAAGCTAATAAGAGCTAGATGCGGATGGTGGTTTCAATAAAAAATTAATTTTCCTTGAAATTGACAACTGTATCTAACTTTTACCAGCTCGCGGAAATTTCACATTAAGAATCTTATTAATTTTTTTATTAATTACTTTTGTAAATATTTAAAAATATTAAATAATATATATTATTATTCATAAATAATATAATAAATAAAATATTGTTAATTAAAAAAAATATATATATAATGTTTGTTGTTTAAATGTAACATAGTTTAAATATTCGCGAAAATTGTGAAAGGATTGAATTAAATAATAAGAGTTTATATAAAATCTTACACGGTGTGCGAAAACAATGAAAATCTGTTGTCGCGCAAGCCATAAAACCGTAACGCCGTAATTACAACCGCGAATAGGTTTGACACGACAGTATCTACCGTCTATCATCTAATTACGAGTATAATACTCTATCGTTTGTCCTTTCCACGAAGAAGTCCGGACCGACTGATTTACCGGACAGTCACAATGAATGAAGCCTTGATGTCTGACGAGAAAAAATATAAAGGTATATTTCATCGTAGATGTCTATAAAAAACAATTCATTAAACGAATCGGCCAAGTGTGCGGACAGGAAATAAGACCTATGAACAGGAAGGTCTTCCTTCCCGTTTTTTCTCTCCGCGATTTTACGGTCAGCAATAAAACAGACGATTTCGATATAAAAGTGTCGTTAATGTTACGTCTACATTAGCGATATCTTTCTATCTCAGCGACGGAAGGTCAAGTGTATTAATTACAAATGGGGTAGTTGACGTAGTGTGCATTTAACCAAAGTATGCATTTTGTAAGATTTTGTAATGTTGAGTTGCAATCTAATCTGCGGCCTGATAATAATTTGGCGGGCAACGTATCATTAAGAGTTGCTTACATCCGGAAGAACGCGTCCTTGAGTATCTTCCCGCGACAGGACGAATACGAAAGATTTTACTGACGACAGAAATGAAATAGCAGCTCTACAGATATTATTTAAATATACATCTGATATTATCCAGCATCGAGTATTTAAGTATATAGCCTACGAGTCAATCCTTTCATCAAATCAATATATGTATTGTATATACGCATATTTATTTATTTTTTGTTATAATCTGTTATAAGTAGAATTTTATTAATTTCTATATCGAAGACAGAGAAAAACTCAATAGTAATCAATTTATCAATTTTTTATGTCGACCGACGTCTCTGAATTTTTTGTGATTAGTCGGGTAAACGAGATGCAACATATTAAACAGTACGTCTCGAGTTAATTATCTTTCAATAGTAGATGTAAAAAAATACAAATATTTTTCTAGTACAGAGACTAGTTATGCAGCATGTTCAAGGATACATTCAGCATTGACGCAACAATGTGATTGTCGTTAAAAATATATCAATATTTAATATTTAAATATAAATATATAGTAATCTCAAATTTGTCAAATTTCACTAAAATAAAATTGAAATTTAGGCAATTTTTGTTGCTATAAGAGGTACACATATTCTTTATTTATATCTCTTCTTTTAGACACATGTTTTAAATGTGTCTAAACAAATTTGTCATAAATTATTTGATTAATAAATTTTACTTTCAATTTGCAAATGAGCAAACGCAAAGTAATTAGCAGGTTAACAAGTGTTTCCTCGAATGCTTCTAGAAAGTTAAAAAAAAAACATTTTGTTTCAGTATCTACCGCGACATTGATCTACGCGAGTAGGACGCGAAACCCGTTCACCACAAAGAAGCCTGTAATTGCGTGTTGAGCCAACAATGAAGCCTAATTGCGAAGGTAGAGCGTACCGCAATTATGCACCACATGAAAGATGACATGCGCGGGATGTAACAAAGGAAGCTGCTTCTACCATTCGTACCAATCCACCTTATCGGTGCGCACGATCACTGACAATGATATATTTTATCCGTGATTTTGCACTGTGTGAATTGCGAAGCTGTCATCGTCCGCAGAGTCGTTTTATGAATATATGACAACGTCACGCGCGATCGCGTCATATTTTTGTCAAGCTAGTCTAAATTTAAAGCGGCAATACACAATTGAGAAAAAAATTTTTCCTCCCAATTTGATAAAACATTATTCTTGTGAGTGACAACAAAATACATATCACTTTGCGTAAAATCTCAGACATAATAATCGAAGCTCTTGCTTATTAATAGACGTTTCTTAAAAATTGTTGTGCAAAATTTAATTTTTAACTACTTTTAAATTTGAGAAAATTTGGAGAGTTCAACAATTTACATAATGTATTTTCCAGGAAAAGATTAAAATCCAATTAGTCTGACTCGTTCGTAAAAAAGATGACTCATGTTCTCTCTGCAATAAGCAACTTGTAGCTATTATTTTTGTGCGCTCATAATGATTATTCATTACTAACATTACACAGATTATCAGATCGTTTGGAAAACACGATCCAAAAGATCGTACGTTTTAAACGATCGCTTCTTTCCTGTCAAAGACGATGAACAAATGAGTTGAAATTATTTTCACGGTGTGTCATGTTTTTTGCGATATTATGAAACCACAACTTGATAGACGTGATCCGCGAAACATCAACCCGAATTTCCTCTCCTCTACTTCCTTCATTTTGGGATCATCGTAACCATTGCTCTGCTTATGATTGCGAAATAGCGTACATCCGACAGGATGTGCCGGCTGCGGCGATTGCATAATGCCACATGTAGCGTGAACCATACTTATTAAAAGTCGGTAAGTTTCTGGGTTCGCTCGTTGCGTCAACACTAAGTGCTCGTATCCTTTGGCATAAATTGTAAAGCAGCGTAAACTAAAGAGAATCCGGAAAATCTTTGTATTTTTTTTCATATTGACTGTTAAGAGAGAATTTTAATAAATATGTCTCAGATTAAAGTGACGTTTTATTTAAATCCCTTTTTTTATTTTACGAAAAAGTTAAAGTTTAAATTTTTACCAAAAAATTGTTAACTCAAAATTTTTTAAATATATTTCCAATTCCTTCAAGTTTTTTTTTGAATACAACATTTATATTTATTAATTTTTAATCAATGATAATCCCCAAAAAAGAAGAAAAACAGCTCCTAATTTACTTGATTTTGTCTAACTTTTTAAACAAAACAAACTAAATTTTTATAAGTAAATTTAATCAACGTCAATAAGATGATTTGGAATATATTAAGCATCAGTGCTCCAATAGCACCATGAAGATTTATGTTATGACGAGCAAGTCATTGATTCAACGTATTTCTCTCAGCGCGTATAGATATGTAAATCCGATCGATTAACATTCGACGTGTTATTCCCAATCACTGACGCAAGTCAAAAAGTAGGTAATCAGGTTCGCCAGTTTCAACTACTCTCTAACATTTTCAGCTGTCCATTTCGTCGCAAAATGTTACGACGATCATTAAATCGATTAACATCTGGCAGGCGATAAAAATGCGTCGTTCTCGAGTGATTAACATCCCTCGTACCTTCGATACCAACTTTTGTTCAGGTATATACAGGTATATGTATTTGGCACTCACCTGGAAAGAGGATCGACGAACAGAGCGACGATGATTACCGCAACGATGACGCACGTGAGGTAGATCGACGAGATTTCATAGATCTCTGACTCCGGCGGCCGTTCCAGGTTCTCGTGGCCTCCGTTGCCAAGGACGCAGAAATCCGCACCGCATAATTTAATTTTGTCCCAGCTGGTAGTGCCGTTGCTACCGCCACCTCCGCCGCCGCCGTGTCCCCCATCGCTCAGCACTGCAATTTGAAAGTGATCTCTGAGTTGTTTCCTCAAACGCGCGTTCGCACTTTCACTGCTAAACTGCTTCTTCGAAGTTCTTCCAAAAACAGAGATTGAAAGTCTCTATATTATTAATTTTATTTATTAATTTATTTATGATTACTAAAATTTAATAATTAATCTTCTTGCTAAAATGTCTTTATATATAGATTTTTATTTAAACATTTTTTTAGTAAAACATGTTTAAATACATTTTTAAGGAGAATTTTAAACAGGAAAAGGAGAATCTATTTTAAAATATTTATATTTTATATTTTCTATCATTAAAATTTAAAGAATTCTTACGACCATTTACATAATAATTCTTGGCTTACTTATAAATAAATAATCTAGGATCTATGAAATTCAGGATCTAATTTCTTAAGATAATTTTTTAATAAATGGTCATTATCTGAATTATGTAAGAGCCGTATTCTTCTTTATTAGAAAAAATGTTTTTTTTTAGAATCATAGTTAAAAAAATTTTAATTATAACTTGAGAAAAAATAATTTTGTCTCATATTCTGCAATAAAAGGACTACTATTTTCATATTAATTTTAAAGAAGAAGAAATTATTATAGAATTTTATAATATTTCTAACTAAAAATAACGGTAGGTATAAATTACTTACAATTAGCATGACATTTTTTCATTGAAGAAACATGGATAATAAAAGTATAAGAAACATCGAGTGTTTTTAATTAGTATTAATTAGAACTCAACGATACATTTACTAAATTTAGCTGTATATTTTTTATCTATTTCACTAATTTAAGATGAACGACTTCAAAAATTCGATCGCTAATCTGTTTAATATATATTTCTATGATATTCTTTTCCAACGTGAGTTTAATTACGGAAGTTATTTTATCATTTTACATATGTATGTATCGCAATTGAGGAATAAAATTGAATAAAATTGAATTGCAATCTGCCTGGCAACTGCATATGTATACTTAGTAAGTAAGGAAATACGTAATAATTTATATTGCCAAGTCGATTATGTTAGCGCGCTCGAAGAATCGCATGGTGAAGGTGTGCAAGCAATAAATCGAGAGGTCGACCTGTTACGCCGTAACCGGAAACCGACAATATACCGGTCGTCGCGAGAAGCTGGATTCTTCATAAATCAATATTTCATGAGCGAATTTCACCGCTGATGAGACTCTTTCCTCTTAACCTTTTGCGGTTTGCGCGCTAGACACGCTGTTTGCTTCGTCTTTTCACGATCGAAAAATTGATTATGCGCATCGACACGTTCTATGGAGGTAATGCCGAACATCGGTGTCACGGTTGCAGTCCTATCTTTAGTGGGAATGTATCGCGTAATATAAATTTCTGCATTTTTAGTCACGACGCGTGAAGTCGAAAAAGACCTTTATCGGATGTAAATCGCGACTGGTTACCTCTAAAAAAACGCAATAGCATTCGTCGCAATTTAACGTGTTCTGATTGCTTTATTAACACCTCTAAAATCACGCCTCTAAACGCATAAAAAATCTTTTGGTAAAATGTAGTTTTTCTTTGCATTTTATGTTGCCAGAAAAATTAATTATTTTATACTTGATGACGAATTGAATGTGAAAAAGAGTTAATTATTATTCGTTAATAAAGAATCATTGAACTAATCGCGAGGAAGAGCACAATAGAGACAAGTGTTCGCAAATAACAAGATAAAGAAATTCCCGCACAGCTGTGCAAACGCAGCCTACGCAGAAGTGTGTCGTCAATGAGGAAGCGCGCGACACGCGTTCGAATGTGGTCGTTTACAGAAAATGTGGTTTCCTTCTCGAAGGATCTCGTTGGTATTCGACGAGAATCGAGTTAAATCGACCAGGAATCAATCAAAGGCGCGCTCGGAGATTCAACGATTTCGCGTTTTAAAAATACGCGCGAATATACGAATTATTATTAGCGCACGTGATATAATGTGTAACAGGTGTGTGACGATAAAATTCTTCTTGAACGTGTCGAGAAATCACGCAATGCGTCAAACGAGTTGCGGCATGCGTTACGTTGCCGTGAAAAATTAACGGTCACCACGTCCCGCCGGTTAAATCATCGACCGGAACTACTGAAGCGGTACACGACTTTCATCTTCTATCGTCGCGGCGTGCCTGGAATCTTGCGTTACTCGCAATTTCAAATATGCGTAATTTGAATTTAAATTATTCTCCGACAGAAGACAAGAGAGCTAATTGATGGCTCAAAGCGAAGCGTATCGTCATTCTGGAATTTACGTAGGTTTTAATCCGGTGCGCGTCGTCAAGTCAACCAGAAGAACTTTCACCGGAGAGTAGCGCTAATAATGCCATGTCGTGTTTAAGATTGTTCAACACCATTGTTACCAATTGTTAAAAAAGTTAGCTTTTTAAGAGCGCGCCATTCAAGCATGTACGAGGAAATCGTTCATTCGAATTACACGATCACAAGATATGACTTTATGCGGTAAATATGAATAAAAAACATACTGAAGATAAGTTAAATATTTTTCATGGAAAGATAAAAGATATTTTATATTTTTTTTTATTTCAGGAGAAAAATAATAATGCGGTAGAACAAACATACATATATTTTTTATATGTATAATAAAAGTATTTTTCTGTCATTTTTATATTTATTTTTCTTTAACAAATACTGATAATAATTTTATAATTGTAAAAATTTTTAAAGTTTTTAAATTTGGAATTAAAGAATTTTTAGTTACAGTTTTAATTAACTAAACTTTTAAGTCTAATCATAAATTAAAAAGTGAAAAACAAAATATATAAAAAAACAAAATTATTCTTTAAAGTTCAAATAAATTTTGCTTTTATTGTGTTTTAAATTTATTGTCTCTCTCTCTTTCTCTCTCTCTCTCTATATATATATATATATATTTATATAAATTTATATTTAATATTAAAAGATTGCAATAAATAATGGCCTTCGTTGAATTTTTTACGATAAAACATTGATATCGAATATATTAAGAAATAATATTAAATAATTAAAATGACAGACTCAATGATACATTTATAATAATTTTTTATAATTAAAATCATTAAAATCTTAATTCACTTGCAATTCGAAATAAACCGGATTCTTTATGATAATTTATCGTATTACGTAAATTGATTACGATCGGTACATTATATATACTTAATCGATTTCTTCCATAATCAATGTCATAATGCATAAAAAATCCTACAAATATTTACCGAATCTCGTCGTACGAATTATTTAATTATATCCTGTCCGCAATCGATAACCTTCACGTCACGATTGACCATTCATTGCTATCATATTGCGCACACGTCGACCTCAACAAGGACTTGAATTAATCTTGACCTTTGTCGTATATTTGTAAATATTATATCTGGCGTCAATGACACCAACTTTTCTCTATCTTCGTCTGTGTATAATTCAAGAAGAGTTCGTCTCTGTTCATCTACTTTATATTCTTATCTAGAATAATATTTCTTTTCCCTAAAAGTAAATATTCTCAATGTCCCTCCTCCCTTCTTTATATTTCTATTTCTCTTTGTGTCAAACTGTTCTATTACTCATTTAATAAACATCAATGGTTATTTAATATTATCCCCTATTTGTTTTTTTTAATCTTTGCGATTATTTAAAAAAATTAGCTTTGTCCAGACCAATTTCATATTTTTTTATTACAAATTAAATTATATATATATTTCGTTCTAGATTTTGCAGAATGATGTCGTCTCGAAAATACTTAAACTAAATACATTAAGTGTTCGATGGGTGAAGAAATCGAAGAAACGTTTCTTCATTTGTAAGATCGACATATAATAATACTTTACGGAACGTGCATGTGTGTGCGCGTATATATAGAGGCATACGCAGCAACGGAGAATGCGTACGAGGTAGTACGGAAACCGACTATCACGAGTTTATACCGGATAAATCTCGTTTCTTCTCGGCGAATGTGCGATTCGCTCTCTGTCGCTATCACGGCCTGTCTCGCTTGAAGAGTTCCTCACCGATAGCGTTGTCTTTCACACATGTGTGGCGAATACGAGGTGTGTAAAGGCGCGAGTATATACGAGCGTCAGGGGAAAAACCACGCATTTAGTCCGACTGTCTGACTGTTAACGTGTGTTTCTACTGAGCGGCACGTATGCTGCGTATATATCATCGCGCAACTTGCCTAATTTTGAGAACGAAAATTGTTTACCTAGTCGTAGACAAATATTCTGCATTTCTATATATTTTTTTGAAAACTATTTTTAATTTAATTAACGAAAAACAAATTTAAAGAGCTCTAGAAAAATTTATATACGTATATGCACACATAGAATATCTTGACGATAAAATTTAAAAATTTTGAGAATAAAAATAGTTTACCTGATTGTAGACAAATATTCTGCATTTCTATATATTTTTTTGGAAACTATTTTTATATTTAATTAACAAAAATAAACTTAAAGAGCGCTAGAAAAATTTATATATGTATATATGCACACTTAGAAGATCTTGACAATGAAATATGAAAATATATAAGTTATTTTCTGTAAGCAAATTATAATTTTACTATGGAATGAATATAAAAAGTAATAAAATTTAATCAATTATAAATAAGTTGTATTTATAATTTATATTAACAAAAGTTTTCTGAAATTTCTATATTGATAATTTTTGTCTAGAAATATTTATTTCTTAACCGGTTACACGGGTATAATTTTTTAATTAAAAAATTATAATTATAATACACACTTGTGATTACAAGATGAGCGAGATAGTCCAAGTTGATAAGCCGTCGTACATTTGTGCGTACATTTTACGGGCGTATTTGCGCGGCATTAATGAATATATTGAGCTGCTGGTAATTGAGTGTAAAAACCAGACGGCGATTAAGATATTAAGACGTAATATTGAGACGTATATAGAAAATGTCTTTATTTACACGTCACAGCAAATAGTTGCTTTTGTAAAGATATTCACTCTTTTATAATCTCAACAATAAGAATTAGATATTTTTATTCCCAAAAATTAACTTTTCACGAAGTAACAATTGTTAAATATGTGCATATAAATATAAATAATAAAAATATTTATATAGCATAAGCTTATCCAACAAATCTTATTATTCATATGCGATCATTATATGCTTCAAAATATAATATAAAAGTTAATATTTTGTGAAATATATGTATCGTATATATTTTCAAAATATCATATGTATATATTAAAAAAAAAACAAGCGTAAGATATTTAGCCTTGTACAATTTATAAGTACAGTTATTATTTTATTTTCAAAGTGTTAAAATAATGGTTTTGATAATATATCGTAAACTTAAAAAAAAGTCATAAAACTTACCAAGAGAAGAAATGAGATTGCCCCAGAGCTCAGCAGTCTGCCACGCCAGGAAGAAGAAGCCGAAGAACCGTACAACGATGGCGTCGATCGGTTGGTCGGTGATCTTGGCGTAAACCCCGCCAACCTGCGTGAGATACGTGGCTTTGGCCGCCCACATCGGCGCTGCGCCGAGGCCGAGGAGCACTCCAGCGGGTACCAGGGTGTAGAATTTGGGGTAGAACTGCGAGCCGATGTACGGCGCGTAGCAGAGCATAGATAGGCAGAGAGTCCACTTGACGGTGAGCCTCTTGATGAGGAACGTGGGCACGAAAATGCACGAGAGCACCAGGGCGGCGTAGATGGCCGAGAGCGACACGGTGCCGAGGCCGTCGCTGGCATTGATCGACGACTGCAGATTCGCCGTACCCTGGAACGCGGTGAACTGCACCATGAAGGCGATCGAGACGGTGCCGATGTTCTTCAAGATACGCCACTTCTCGCCACGCGATATCTTGAACTTCCGCGACTGCGTGTCATCGTCCGCGGCTGGTAGCTGCGGCGGTTTCTGCGGTTCCGGTGGTATGCCGTCGGCGCCGTCGTCCTTGTAGCCCTCGTTCCTGTAACCGCCGCCGCTCATCACGGCCACCGTGTAAACGGTGTCATCGCCACCGCCGTCGCCGCCGCCGCCCGTGTCGCCGCCGCTCAAACTTCTGCCACCATCGTTTTGCGATGCCACCATTTTACGTGTCGACTACCTACACACAATTACAATTGCTTATTACTAACATTAGCTTGTGGATTATGTGTTATTATCAACCATCTCCCGTAATAATAATTGATAATTAAATATTTGTAAATATCCGCACGCGAACTATAAATTAGATATGTAAGCAAGTAATTGTATAAATTTTCTTTTTCTTAATAAAATATAATCAATAAAATTTTAAACCAATTATACATATATATAATTGAAAATTGAACGTTGTACAATATGTTAATGTTCAATAAAAATATTATAAATTGTTCAGCATATCACTAATATATTTCAATGGAAAATGCAGTTAGTCAAAGAAAAAATTATATATCTTGATGGTAAAAGATTAATATAATTTATTAATCGATGTTATTTGTATAATAATTGACGATGCTTACGTCACATTAAAAATATTAATATGCGTCAAAAATATGCGAATATCCTTTCGTCAGAGAAGATCGTCTTTATTATATACACAGATAAAAATTACTCAGTTTGCTCTTATCAATTATTATCAATATCGTCGTGGCCGATATTGAAGGTATTCAATAAAAAAATTAATTCTTACGTGAATATCTATTAACCCGATTAACGCATGTTAAATGAGAATTCATTCATTGTTCATTTTGACGCTCGAATAGGACACATACAATTACATAAAATCATTCATGGATATAGAAATTCATGCATATTAATGCACTGCACTTGCACACACAGTGTTCCCTTCACAACGATACTGCGATTGCTTCGTGTGATATTTCTTTATCAGATTGCTTCGCTCCTATGCTTCGTGTGTGCATTCATTTCTGATTTATGCAATTACAACTTGTATTCACCTAGAGCCACTATTAACGAGCCTATTTTTAATTATGGTATTTTATTCATCAATAAGCATTTTTTCGGCTATTATTGTATTCCGATATTTTATCGTGAGATTAAAAAGAATAGTCGATCAAAAGTTTAGTAGTGCAAATTTATAAAATGTAACAATAGCTCTTAATTAAAAAAATTTAACTATTATTTCACTGTTTGTTCGTTAATTCAACAAACACTTAAACACATTGTAAGTACATAGTATACAACCTACAGCAAATAGTATAATATTGCAATACCCTATTAGAACCTATTTTTGCAACTTTTTCTCAAATCAATCATCACTGCGCAAACAAGAATCTGCGAATCATGGTGAATATGACGTGACAAACGATTAACCTTTTGAGAAAAAGAGAGAGACCGGCAAGTCTGTGTAATCTGTATAGAGTCTATACAGTGAGGTACAGAACCACGTGTACGCGTGAATAGATACGAAAATATCAGCTGCCAGGTGCGTATTTTAATTATTTACAATGGATTGCTGCGAGTGACAAACGATCTTTCGTTATAATCGAGAAAGAGCGCATAATTATGCACGCATTTCGCTCTCGAAGAAGAGAGATCAAACTCAACTATTACCGATATCATTGTATACTAATATCTCTTATCTATTAAACGTGTGAAACACGTAATTCATTTCATAAAAAATTCATATAAAAATGTTTATTGTCTCTGAAAAATGGTCACCAGTTCAAAATAGACTGTAATAAAGGAAGCAATAATATTATTATATATAGGTATTGTTTTAAAAAAATCAATTTCATATATTCATATATTTCTATGTGATATGTTTAACATTTTAATAACCAAGCGTTCCATCTCTTTAATATCATTTACTGTTCACGAGATAAATTATAATTATTGCTGAGGCTATACACAAACGAAATCTTATTATACTTATTATTATATCGTTGTTCACGTAGCATTATAATTTTGATCGGTTTGTATCTCATTATATTAAATTCTATAAATCTAAACAGAGACATAACTTTTATAAATACAAATAAAATGAAAGATGAAATAGACGCTGAAGCATATACTACAGCAAAACTCTTGTCTAATTATTAGAAATTTAATTAGAAAAAAATATATAAAGGTAATATAGTTTTATATACATATGTTTATTTACGAGTAATTTTTTACATGTTAAAATTCCAGATTAGATTAAAATAATCATCGGATAATAGATATGATTAGGGCGAAAAAAATTTATTTGTTGAAAAAAAATATCAAGGCAAAATGTAGTCGATTTTATTTCGCTTATTCGTGCTCGATGCCTTTTTATTAAGTGCGATTCTCTGAACAATCGTCATATCGCTCGTGCGATAAAAAGCAATAGCTACTCGTGTCTGAGATAATAATTTTACTGCTGACTTTTCCATGACTAAGAAGCATGTCGGGTCTGTTTAAGACCGTGCCAATGGCAATCAATTCGCTCGAACAGGAAAATTGTGTATGTTATGCGAATAATTGAAATATTCCTGCGATTTGCATACAATCATATACTTAACAAAAATGAAATAATTCACAATTATATAGCTGTTGCGTTTTTTAAATGGTGGAATAACCGAAGTGTTTCTGCAAAATAATCGCAATTTTTCCTCGTGCCGTATCGGCGCGAGGTATGTTTTTGATTTATCGATTTCATGTACCAGATAGTTTTATTAAAATTGCGTCATGTATGCGGGTGGATTTACTTAAATTGCAAGCCTGACGAATCGCGTGCCTATTGCCGTTGTGTCACTAGCAATGAAAAATATGTGACACGGAGATAGACACGCTTGGTTACAGACACACGTCAAAATAATTAACGCTATATATTGAAAAAAGTGCGAGGTCGCTGTACGCATAAATATTTTTGTATGACTAACAAGTTAGGGACTACTAATGATTATTGCGAAAAATAAAACAGATGACGAATATATGGAAAATAAAGAAAAAAAAATACAATTTTACTTATAATATACACATGTGTGTCTTGTTCGTATTACATACAAAACTTTTTTCTCCAATAATTTATATAACTTTCCAAAGCTATTTCAAAACTAGGATATAAAAATAAGATATAATAAAAAAAGTTCTCAATTAAATATGAAAAAAATCATATACTAATATATAATATATATTTTAAATTATTATATATTAATATAATTAATATATATATTTTAACTATAAGTCTTAATAAAGATAAAAAAATATCTCCGTCTTATATGCATATTATCCGATTTCTCTCGAATCTGTGTAAATCGATTTTTGAAATGTCGGATGAATCATCTTATAAATCATAGAAATTCATTGAAAGCATTTTTTCGCTAAAGAAGACATAATCTCACGGCTCTTCTGATACATATTTCATCTCGTTTCTTCGCAATACTTTTTTTAAAAATACGCACAAAATTTACATCTTTGAGCGCTCTGCAATGAACTATTAAAAGATTCAATGAATGTTGAAGCCAATAATGATTTATCTCATAGCGTCATATAATTGATTAAATCTCCTCGATGAATCCCGATCATGAAAATGGATTGGCTGACCCAGCACCAGAAACCGGTAGAATTAAGGCGATTGGTCGCCGGTGAAAGCCGGTTTGGATCGGTTAGAACCGTAATATACATTCGGTGTCGATGACTGAAGGCATTCCGCTCGCGGGGTCTACGTATGAGGCCCCAAGACAAACTAGAAAGAGAGATTTAGAAAGACTAGTATACACACGAGAGCTGTCACGCATTAGCTACACGACGATTGAATCGCGTGGATAATTAATAAATTCTAACTAGAACTGCACCTCAGCACAGTTTAAGTTTTGCGATGATTCTGGCCCTATCCGTCTCTCTTTGGAGCGAGTCTTTCCGCCAGAGGAAGATGCGTATCTCGCGGAGAGATAATGCGAACGACTGCAACGATTATTCAATCTCGATGACTTCAAGACGACATCGCGTGCTCGTAAGATGGCAAGATGTGATGAAACGTCTAATTACCTTGACATATTTTCTCGTGAAAACAGAAAGTACGGACGATGTCTAGATTTTTTTTCCGCGTACATAGCGCGAAATATGCAGTTACTGTTCGTCAGTGACGAAAACTATGGTTGTCTCAGCCATGGATTGCCCGTGTCGTGAGATAAATGCTACTGCCGTAGACTCTGACAGCATGTTTAGCACATTTAGTAACAGAGAGTTTGTCTCTTTTTTTTCTCTGACAATATCGGTCATTTTTTGTTCAATTTACATTATCTTTAAAATACTGATAGGCAACTCCTGCGCTGATCTCTTTAAATTTTTTCATTAAATATATTATAGAAATATTTAGACGCAAATTATGTTTGAATACTAAACTGGATGAGAAAAATGGCCGTTTCATCCGAGGCTACCTGACATGGATTTTAATTATTTTTACCTTGTCTCATTACACGTATCGTTTGCAAATCAAGATTCGCTGGTGTTGTAATTACTGAACGAGATATCTCCGATAATAAAGTTGTGTCGTATATTGTGTAAGCGTATAATGGTTGAGATTGCGTATATACAAGTAAACTTGTAAACATTCGCCACAAGGACAGGTAAAATCGTTTGCGATCATCATTTCTTGTCTCAAATAATATTTTAAAAAATGCTTTGAAAAATTCTAAAGATTCTAAGATAAAACATTGATTGATATTGCACATTGACTGTTAAATGTGATCTCTATAAGCTTTAATAATAGCTTTTAATAATATTAAACTGCAAATTTAAAATTCTCAAAAAATCGATAAGCGAAACTCTGTGCATGTGTGTGTAGTTAAAAAAATTAATAAAATTGTATAAATTTTAATTTTAGACAAACAGCATCGAATATCTCAAATGATCATATTTAACAGTAAATGTGAAATGCAAATATGTGTCAATGTCAATAAATATTAAAACGCGATTATACGGTATATAAATATACACATACAGATAGAACAAGAGAATTATTGAAACTAAAAAATGATCTTGACAGAGATTGCAATACGATGTAATTCTTTCATTAATGTCACTTTATATGCATCGTAACCATCTAGTTAAACGATCCGTTAGCGGTTCTTAAAGTTCTGAGATGTTATCGCGATTGTCTAGATCGAGCATGCTGTGTATCCCTTCTTCAAGAAG